ATTTAGGACATAAGCATACACACATATTGATATACAAAAGCTCCGACTTTGATGATTTGTAATGGGTAGGATTTTTAATTACGCCTCTGTTGAAGCCACACACACACAATTGCTGCCTCTGGACTGAGATGTCAGGAGAACATTATTTTTCCCCCTTGCCCATTCACAATTAGATAGATTTGCTAATTGCACCCCCCTGACAAGAAGAAGGCAGCAGAAGCAGAAAGGCTGTTTTCTTCACTGGTATGTGCCCAAAGACCACACTAATTATGGACATACGTACATAAGACTCTGCCTGGATCGTGCCATCTTATCATGGGCAACCAGACCAAGCTTCAGACAAAGGCCAACCTAGAGGCACCGCAGTAACTTCTTCTGCCCCCCTCCTCCAAAAGGAGAATTCATTTCACGATGGTGGAGAAAGACAGCACCACCCAAACTCGGCCCACAACCATTCATGGCTGGGATTTATGTTTCACAAGAGACCGGGCTCGTACCTTAGACTGATCAGCTGTGACGCTTGGGTCAGAGCAGCTGACAGAGGCGTTTGCAGCAGTGAGGTCCCTCTATTAGCGCCGAGCAGATTCCTCTTCTCCCCCGGTGCTGGCATTTGGCGCGACTTGCCGAGCCCCTCAGCAAATAGTGCTAAAATTCCTCCCCGCGCAAACCCGAATAAACCCCAGCAAGTTCTGCTTCCATAGAGGCGGGAAGCTTTGTGCTCCTCTGCACCTGATTTCAAAGTTTTTCAAGGGGCTAATTGGCATCATTCAACTTCCTCGAGAAGGCATGTGCCGCGCAGGGTGAAGCGGCGGAGTCTCAGTGCTGGGTGAGCAGCTCCAGCTCGTCGAGCCCCGGGGCTGTCCATGCAACCCGTTTCCTCAGGCACGGGGCTGGGGTTGCAGGGGGAAGAAAGAGACGTACAACAGGACCACAGCTGCCTATGGCCCTCAGAGCATCCTGCTCCGATGCCAACTTGGGAATCCGTGCAAAGCTTTCTGATGGGTGATACGGGAACAGGAGCTGAGCCCCAGCATCTGTGCTACAAAGTCCATTTCATACTGGGCCAGGCGTGGTGAGCATTCAGCCGACCACGGCTCCCAGAAAGCCCCTGCAATTGCACAGTCAGCAGAAGCGAACCCTCAGGAAAAAAGAGTATTATGAAAAATCTGGTTCGTGTCCTTCTGCAGCTCCCATACATTCCCCTTGGGGTCCCAAAAATTCCCCACAAGCAAGTGAACCAGCATGCTTTCAGAGGGACAGCAAGATGCAGCTAGGGAAACAAAACCCTCTTACTGAGGCTCTGCGGCCTCTCATTCTCGCTATTTGTACCTTCCTCCTTCCTCCTATCCATATTATCTGCACAATTTCTCCTGGGACATTAGCTCTTCAAGACAGCAGTTATCTCCATACCCCTTGTCATGCAGAAGCACGCAAGGAACATCCAAAACTTGGGCAGGGTAGGGGGGTCCTGCATATAAACATTGTTCCTTGTGTTCAAACTCCCTCAGCAGAATTCCTCACCATTTTCAAATGGATATGCTGTTTTGCAAGTTGCTGTAAGGTGTTAACAGATTGTATCCTCCAACCTATTTAACACCTCCAGCTGCTACAAAGAAACAGTTTAGCCACGAAGAAATAAACCCAGACCCCAAGAACAGATAAGAACAGACAAAACGGAGGCTGCAGAAATCCTTTATCTTCCCACAAAAAGTTTAATTCATTGGGAAAGACGGAGGCACAAAGACAAAATGGTTTTCTGGATGAATTTAAGACACAGGGAAATTATTCTTCTTCAGTCACCTCCTTGGTCCCCACGTTCCCATCACACAGATGAGAAAGGTTTGCTACCCCAAAACCAGTATTGTTAACGAAAAACTAAGAAAGAACCCACACATGTTAGAAAACAAACAGCTGTCTCCATCTCCCACTTTCAGTACCCCCGCGACGGCGAGAAACCACCAAAACATCTCTCGAGCACACAGGATGCACAGTCACCAGGTGTTACTGCGGTTTCAGTACCATCACGTGCCACTTCTCCTGCAGCCACCCAAACCAACTGCTTTGCTCTTTCACTCACCCAGCTATCTGATAAGAATTCGTTCTGCGGTGCGAGGCTTGTACCCGAACTTGTAATTAACGCTCTCCTGCTCTTACAAATCCAACTCGTAAAAGGCAAATCAGTTGCCAGTAAAATAAAATTAAAAAAACCCTAAAAAATAAAAAAAAAAAAAAGGAGGAGAAAGGATGACACGACTCTAACACTAGCAGATTTAGGAAAATTTGAAATCCTCCTCATATACCCTCTCCCCTCCACAAGCTGCACTGAAATTACACTACAGTGTTCTTCCTTTAAGGCTTATTAGACACGCTGTGTCTGACCACAGATTTGTATTTTTAATTTTTACAGAGCAAGAATGTAAAGCGTTTGCTCTTTTTAAAAACAGGCATTTTTTTTCTCCAGCATACATTGATGAAAGTTACTTTTTTTCCCATTCCAAGAAATCTTTGCTCTCTCCGCACTGGCATAGGAGCAGAGGCCGCCTCCATTAGAGATGGTCCAGTCCTGTGGCTCTGTCCGCCTTTCCCCGGGGCGTGCATCCCCTCAGGCGCTTTGCAGGCAGCCGGGTCCTTCGGAGGGTTTGGGGAAAAAAATAAAAGATTCAGCGCCCCAGGGCGGCTTTTTAATCCTGCCTAACACCTCCAGGCAACAGATGCAGCAACACGAAGCGGCTTTGTCATGCAAATGGCAGGGCGCAGGTACGAACCGCAGGGCTGCTCCACACACAAATGGCCTGGGACTGACACCCCAGGGGGGACCTCCACCTTGCTGACCGCGGCTGCTCCTCGTCCCCCAGCCCAGGCGCATCCCCCCGCAAAAAAAAAGGGGGATCAGAAGCAAGCCGGCGGGGCGGCGGTTGGGACGCCGCAAAGGTGAAGAGGCAGCGGCGCGCGGCGCTGGAGCGGTGGTTAGCTGTGAAGCGAGTGAGCAAGCGTGTCATCTCCTGGATGCGGCGTTTTGATCTCGCGCACATTAAAACCCAGCTGTCAGCTAGGAGACTAACAAAGATTACAGTTCAATTAAACAAAAAAAAATATTTAATAACTCAAGCGTGTAGCCTTGTGGTTAAACTGAAAGAACTCCAGGCTTATGTCAACATCGCAGCCCTGCAACGGCACTATTTTACCGAAATAGTGGTGCTGCTCTAACATGTGTGAGCAGCAATGAACTAAATTAGTTTTTTTTTCAGCAGGGAGCTTTATGATTAGAAAGCAGATGTGTTTTCCCCCCTCCTCCCCTCCAATGTATCCAGGTAGGATGATTCCTCAAGTACCTGAGGAGACAGGCTCCGCAAGAAGCCGATACTTTGCGGGCATCGATGCCAGATCAGTAAAGAGCGGCAGCCCCACGGCACGCATACGTGGAGAAAATCCTCAGTGAATAATTAAACTGGATTTTGTTGTTCAAAGCCTTGCACCAGCTATAGGGACTTTCTTAGGAGGGTGACGTGGGAAAGGGGGGTGTAAAAAAAGGTCTGAAGTTTCACGGTCCTCAAAGCGGCAGGTTTGAGTCTCGATGCCCTCTCGAGAAGCTGCACCCTTTTCCCCACGATACATCAGAACTGAAGTTTTCTGTAGAGCAGTGTTTACAACAACAAATACCAACACACCATGGTCATCATACTTCACCCTAAATGGCTGTAGGCCTCTGAACTGTAATTTATACACAAACAAGGTTCTTTTTAAAAAAGAGAGCTATAAAAAGCAATATATTGCATGAGTTTTTGCGTCTTTCAAACGCAAACAGTGACATATAAAAAGGGCAGATCCGTGTGTTTTTCAGTGCCAAACCGCCCTGTCATTCCAAATCCGAACATCCACTAATTTAACAGGCTTTGCTACTGTCAAATTACCAATACGGATTAGGACCCTCTTTTTGGTTTTTGAAGTCAAAAGCCACAACCCTGAAGAAAAATCAAGAACGTCGGAGAGCAAAATAATGCCAGTTGTTTGACAGAGACCGCCAAGTAAAAATCCAAGAGCCAGTAAGATGGAAAAGTGCTTTATCACAGGGAAAAAAACAGCATCCAACTTCTCGTATCACAGCACACACAACTGCAGCGACGTTTTTTTCACCGGGAAGCCTACAAGCAAATTTGTTTCCCCCTCCTGCTCCAATTCTACTAATATAATTTCAACAATATAATTTTAACATTGCCTCCCCATCACTCTCCATGTATACCAAGAGATTTACAAAAACAAATGGGAATTGACTATCCAAAATTAAAAGTACATTAAAATCCATCACACGTGCACCTACATCAATGGAAACAGAGGGACCAACCTGGAAGAATCAGTGCCTGTCACAACGTAAAGGAAAGCTGTAACTACTGTGTCACGGTTGATACTAATTCCTAAACAACCATTTCACAATTTGTGGCTGAAGATACAGAGTATGTTTCAAAGCAATACTCCCAGACACATACAGCATTCATGCAGAGCAACTGATGGCAGAAATAAATATCAATCAGCAAAGAGCAATGCCATATCTGAAGGAAAAAAAAAAAAAAAAGAATCCAATCTTTTCATCTTACTGATAAGCAACTTCAGTAGTTCTACTTTCCGCCCTCGATTTTCCTCAACAAATGAAGAGTTAAACCCAGAAAATTCACATCTGTCCCAGTCACTACAAAGACGGCATTTACATCATGCCGCCATACATTATCCTACAGTCGTAAACCAGGGCTCCCCCCCTCCCAAAGCCCCCGTCCCTGTTCAAAGGATGTCAGACACCGCAGACGTTAATCTCAGCTTTTCCACCGCGATCGCGACCAACACCTCCAAGAGCTCTCAAACTCCCATGGACAGAGGCTCTGAATAGCAGAAGCGCAACCTTCACCGTAACTGAAGCTACCCAAAAAACCCTGGCGTGAACACACACTGCAGACCGAACAGGAGGAAACCCAGTTCGCCAAAACAGGTCTTTGGAAAAGATAACTCACTGTTCTGGGGATGGGTGGCGACAGAGATCCATTAGGCATGTACGGGTCGTTATTCATATTTGGCATCATGATATACCCAGAATAACCAGAGTATGATGGTCCCTTGCTGTATAAGCCACTGTCTGGATGCTTTCCTATGGAAGAGGAAACAATGATTACATTATTCCCCACATACGCATTTCTTGTAAGTTAGAGCACTTAAACAGGTACTGTGCATTCATAAAAATGTTCTGCATGCAAACGTTGCCTTACTCATGGAAATGACTTCTGACAGAAAGTGGTCCACAGCAATTTGTAATAACACTTTTTAAAAGGAGTTAGTTCTTAAAGGAACAAGTACTCTCAGTGAGTTTATGCTTAAAATATGGACTAGCCTCAGAGTAACCAATTTATTTTGCTAGTCCCTGTTCAAATCAAGGCAGAAACATCAGCAGTGACATCCCAGTTCTTGAGTAGCAGTTTTCCCCCATTTTATACATCCCTCTAGGATTTGTGGATTCAGAAGTATTGCCAGTATGGGTTTCCAACATCATTGTTAGGAAAGGGAGGAACAGGGCAGTGATAACTAGATATAATCATTTCCTTCTTGCGCTGAGCCACTGTGTGCAGCGAACAATCCATTCTGGCCACACTCACCAGGAACAATTAGAGGGCAGGGGCTGGCTTAGGAGGAGACCCTAACAATTTGGGGGGGGAGGGCGGGCTGTTGAACACACATGGCACTACAGTCAAGAGGGAAGCCAAGTGAGGGAGGCTATTTTGTAGGAAAATAAAGAATTTGGGTGCAGGTTATGCAAAGGGGGGTGAACACGTCTCCCACCTATATGACTGTTGACAATGATACTACTCGAAGGTGAGGATTTAAGAGGATGCAAGGCTGAAAAGAAAACTACACAGAGCTGATGTCCCCCCTCTCCTCGCTGTCAAAATGCCATGAGCGTGGATGTTATTGCTTTTAGGCTGTTTAATGACCAATTAGGAGAAAGATTGCCACAGAGTTTCGAAAAGCACCAGGATTGAACTGTGTCTGTCTTTATATGGAATTTATGATCTGGTTTAGTTCATGATGATAAGCGTTTCATTTTAAACATAATCTCCCATCCTTCACAGCACACATTCTTTGTACGCGTGTCCAGCTTCCTAAGCGATATTCAGCAAACTCTGTTATTTCCTCTGTCCTCCTCAATCAAAACTAACCAGCTGGTACATTAAAAATCAAGAGGTCTGTTCATGCTTAGATTTGGAAGAGGAGATTTAACCGACAGACTTTGGCTATGGGGAAAAAAGCGCAGAGTTTCTGAACACACACAACTCAGCTGCACTGTACGAGTGAAGAGATAGATGTGTTTAAGCTGATATCCTAAAAATAGTTTTTTCTTCAGCAAAGATCCATTTGGCCTACTTATCAGTTTCTAAACAACCGAAATACCATTTGGTCACTCAAGATAAATGTGCTGCACGTTCATCTCCTTTTTAAATGCTCTTTGAATGCACCCTGGCATCCCCCCTCTCCAAAAGGTATTAAATTTATGTTTCCCAAAAGAAATCAAGCTCCAGTTTGAGGACCATATGGAGGCTCACAGGGGGACTAAGAGGGACAATATCACAAGACAGGACCGTGCGCTTCTCACCTTCCTCGGGGTGCTCTCTGCCTTTATCGTGGTAGGAATCCTGCGCTTGAGTCTGCCTGGAAACCTGACAGCAGGGAATCCACCATCAGAAAAGAAGAAGAAAAAGAAGAAAAGTCATTGTATGGATGCTCATTTATCGATCACAGCGCTACAGCTTCTTGTAGAAAGAAAAAAGTTACGGCAAGAGATAAGCATCTTTCTTTTCCCTTTTAAGTCGTTTGGAAGGCAACTGTATCACAAACGTTTTGTGTAAACCACCGTTTTATGACAACGTTAATAACTACGGGGCTTTGCCATGCGTTTCTAGCAGAAGCGCCCTACATTAAACGAAAGGGGCTTATTTCTGGAAAATATTTGGAGCTTCGGCGGTCAAAACACTCTCGATACAAAAGATACCAAAAATAATAATGAAAATCGGGTTGCCCTCATTACCAGATCTTTAGGGGGGAAAGAAAAAAAAAAAAGAAAAGAAAAAAAAAAGAATTAAAGAAAAGAAAAGAAAAAAAAAAGCAATAAAAAAGCAGGTTCCCTGCTCGCCCCGAAGTTGTTTTAGCGTCGGGAATTTCTTCCCAAACAGTTTTATGCAAATCCCTTTAAGAGTTTACGGCTAATGCTCCGATCCCGCTGATTTTACCGAGGAAATTTCATGGCTGCTTGAGGTCTAATACCACCGCACCGTCGGCGGACTCGCGGGAACTTTCTCGTCCCGGCCCGAAGCGCGGAGGGGGCTGTCCTCCCCCCCACCCCCCCAGCCCATTCCCGGGCGCGGCGGGGCACGGAGCCCGCCCGGCTCTGCTCGCCGCCCCTCTGGGAACGAGAGTTGGGGTGGGATAGGTTTGGGGTTTTTTTTTAGGGGGAAATTCGGAAAATCGGGATTTCCCCGGTGCCCCGCCGAAGTTCTCTGCCTCCCGGAGGCGACGGCGGCGCCCGGAGCCCG